ACAATAGATTATTATGCAAAATAGTTTTCAACTATTGTAAAATATTTCACTATATTTTTCTGTATTTGATTATGAAGTACTAATTTACAAATAAATTCGCCAGAAATATTTGGATATTTATATATGTATGTATATAAATGATTCAGATTAATATGTATTTTTCATGAAGTATTTTTTAAAATACATGAATTTGTATATAATTTAATAAATAGCTATAATACATATTTTCCCAATTATACATATATTTTAACAAATATAAATCGATTATAAAGGATTTAGTGTTAAAAGTATTTTGTATTATTTGTAGAATTACCTAAAAATAAATGACATTTAGTTTTTAATTTTATTGATAAGAATTTTTACTGTTTAATTTTAGATTTACATTTAGCTAGTTATAATTTTCATTCATAGTTTTTTCATATCTTTTATATTTTATATTTTGTGTTCAAATATTTTTGTATATTTTTCACTAGAAAAATTGCAGAATTATTAAAAACTAAAAAATATGAAAAGCATTCACATTTGCATAAATATTTGCTTTAAAAAGCACATTAGCTGCACGTTAAGCAATTTAAGAGTGCAGCAAGAAAAACTTGGCTTTAACAATTGTATGACGATGCGTTTTTTTTTTATTTATTTATTTATTTTTATTTTTTTTTTCAGTCCACTTTTTATGCTCGTTGGCTCGTACCTGCAGATCTCTCTCCGCCGGCCGCGGTAATACATTAACTTCTGCTTCGATAAATAAACAAGTTGAGCTACTTAAGATTTAAGTTGCAGTTGTTCTTGTTGCTGTTGTTGTTGTCGAACGAGCGTCGAGTTGTAAGTGTGCACAAATTTATAGTGGGTAGTTTTTAACCGGCACTCAGTGCTTCCCACACCCCCTCCCCCCTTCCCATTTCCCCTACCCCCTACCTGGCCAACTGTTACCCTTATGAAGTGCCCCAGGTATTGCTACAAAATGCACATTACGTATACGCAGCGTATGCATATTTCAAGCATAAAACCTCTTCTGCACAATGAACAGCAGCGACAGTGACGTCGACGTCGCGCGGCGTACTATAATAAACATATAAATGCTAAAATGTTAAATTAAATTGAATGCAAGAAGGCGGAAATGTTAAAAAATGTTAAAATGTTTTGCGCCTTGTTAGCTACGAGGACGGAGCAAAGGAGAAGAATGCCTCACTTGCTGGCGCCCTCTGGCGTTAGGCGTTGGCAGTTTAAGATGCTGACTTTAAGTAAGCTCTTAACACTGCACACACACGCACACACACACTTCCATTTGCCACGCCCATTCAGTGGCTGTCTGGTAAAGTGCAGTCATAAATACGTTAACGTTCGATATGTTTCGACTGCAGGCCAGCTGCAACTAACTGGGCTAAGTGGCTGCACTCACAGTGTTGCCTAAATGTGCCACGCCCCACCCTCCGCTGCACATTCCCAACTGCAACCGATTCATAACCGTGCATCCATCAACCCGCACTCAGCAGCAAAGCAGTAAAATTTTGTATAAATTGAAATCACTTAAGTAACTTGATGCCAAACGCCGCTGGCAACATTGGCAGCTCTGGCAACTCTAGCAATGCCTTCTCTCTCTCTCTGGTAACTTTAGCAACTGTGACAAACTCTGCCTGCTTGTGTTGACATCAATTTTTCAATAATGTCATTCACACGAACCTCAATATTATGTCAGCCTGAGAGGCACTTGTGGCGCTTGGCTCTGTAACTGCGGATTAATGATACAATGAGCTAAGAAAAGGATTAATACAAAATATATATATTTGTATTTTGACTGAAGTAGATACAGATTTATTTTTATATATAAGATTTTTGCTGCATAAAAAATATATAAGCTAACAAACGTATGATAAAAATCTATATGTAAATAAAGCTAAATATACAAGCTAACAAAAGTATTAAAAAAATATGTATTCATATGGAAGATATATACGATAAACTAGGTAACGAACTATAGATAGAAATGATAGATAGATAGATAGTCTAAGATAAAAGCATACATATATATGATTTTTTTTTAACGTTTGTAATTATGTATATTAGCTCACTTCTTATAGTAGAGTATCCATACCAAATTATCTGTTTACAAATGTTATTCAAATTTAATTCAATATTCAACTTGATCTTTACATTTTTGTGGTATATCAAAACATAATTATATTTGCTTTGAATTCGTGACTCAATTCAAAGATTGAACTTTAAAAAAAAAGTCATACAATTACCTAAACATATTACAAAGTCAGAAAATAAAAGCAAACAAATTGTGATACAAGCGAGAGCAAACTTGAGCATAACAATTTGATTTGCATAATAGAGGGGGAAACGGGGAAAATCGTGTTATATAGATACGAATGTAGAGAGACATTTGCAATTCGGTTTTTATTTGAAGGACATGCAAAGCACGTGCCAGCGACATAAACAATAAGGAGAAGACATATCGAGAACTCTACGAGCTGAAAGAATTCAAATAGTCAAATGCAATTAAAAATCAACATAATTATTTATTGATACTGGTATATTTATTCACTTGCCTCAACACATGGTTGGACTACTGCAATCTTTTCGTCTTGCGAGCAATACCGACCCGCATTCTATATATGAAGTATTGCAGGAGCGTTAGGGACATCAGGATACATATTATCATGCTCACAGTCACGGCCCCTTGCAAGGGCTTAGAACTAAAGTCTAAGACCTTATAGATAAACCGTCTGCCAAGGCTGCAATAGTTTTCGATTAAATATTATCACATTTCAATAAATATTAAATACGCAATGCTTACGGATCTCTGGCGCCGACGCAATAATAGGTTATTGCAAACAGAAGATAGAGCATTCCGAAAATAACCGGATAAATGAAATGGAACACACGAGTGGGATGTGCAACAATCATGTGATCAATTGTGTTCACCAGCGACGGCAGTACATGCGACCATATATTAAAGAACATACTCACTTTGAGGGGCCTGGTTCCGGTTTTTTCGTACGGAAAAACAGTCAGCCAATACAAAATGTTAATGGCATACGAAATAACCAGATTGGTGATGGAACTGACCCAATAGCTATTAATTAAGGCCGTTTGACGAGCTATACGATGATAAGATTTATAAAGAAAAAAAAA